CACCTAAGGATGAAGATATAGCTATTAGCCCTAATATGAGTGTTCAGTTGTTAGGAACTTTATGCTTTAAGTTGATTAGGAATATAAGTGATAGTAGTGATTGCTTACATTTATATAAACAAACTGCAGCTTGGTTTGAGAAATCAGGGAATATATCCAATGCCACTTGGGTTAGAGGATGGTGGCCTAGCTTAGAGTCCACGGGTAATACTACCATACCTGCACAACCATGCTGGTCACCCTTTTGTAAAGGCTCCTTAGCAGGAGACACCTTGTATTCATGGACAGGTTGTCAAGCTAGAAAGGTTGGATGGGTAAAAGGGGATTTGATTTACTGAAGCAGGACCTAAGGATGGCCATCGTGACTGTGAATTCCACTCGCGTTGATCTCTCAATGGCGGAGGGCCTCGCTACCTGGATCCAGCAAGCCATGAATCATCTAAAGGAATGGGCGGGCATGGGGGCTCTGGCTGTTTGCCTAGTCGCCGCCATGGTTGGCTGTTTGCTGTGCCTTTGCTGTATAGTCCAATCCCAAAAAAGAGATCTTAGCATGATTGCACAAGCCTTTTATGCCATAGAGGCTGGCCAGTCCCCTCAAGCCTGGCTTGCTGTGATTGAGAACTGATGCAGCAGGGTGCGAGGCGTTGCACTACACTTGGTGTACTGGGCCTAGAGATTGGCCTGACCCAAGGCAAGTATGTCTGACTGCATGCAGGTTGACACTGACCCTTCCCCGCTTATATCCTTTCGTCCTGCCCCAAGAAAAAACAGTGTCGGATGGATCTGGTCTGATAGGCCGGTACAGTGTCCTTTCTTCCCTGGTGTCAGACCTCTGCTTGCACCTGCTTGCTCTTATAAACAAAAAGGGGGAACTGTGGAGAGCCAGTGCTGCGCCCTAAAGATGGCGTGTGCTGCCGCCTTGTTGGAGTGATAAATAACTCCATATTTAGGCATGGGGTTGTGCTACAAGTGGTATGATCTAGTGGGACCTATGGTGATTGGCCACGTAGCAGCCAGCCATTGGCGGAGGCTTTGATATAAGAGTCAGAGCCGAGGGAAGAGGAGGGGCCAGAAGAAGAAAGGAGAAGAGAAGAATCCTGATTAAACTGCCTCGAGAAGGAACCTGGTTGTCCTGTGTCTTCTTCCCGCTAGTCAGGGTCAGCGCAGCAGCACAGGACCAAGCATTCAAATACGAGAGCCCATAGAAGTATTCTTATTCAAACCACCACTGCTGTCTTCTCAGCAGCCTTTAATCGCATGGTCAAATGGGTTGTGGGAATAATAACAAACTCCTAGATTTTACTGTACCAACTAGTTGTGGGGAAAATTTAAGAAGGCTGCTACAGCGGCACAAGCCCCAAAGGGGCTTCCGCCGCTGTGGCGGGTCCCACATTAGGGAAGAAGTCCTATGGTTCCAGCGGCCTGAGGGCCTTGGTGGCGGCAGGCCCCAATAACACGAGAAAGTCCTTTGTTCCAAAAAGGTTTATTGTCATGGCGGATAATAGATGGATCTAGGCGTACCCCCAAAACTCAGGGCAGTCCCGAGTTATGTAGGGAGGGAGAAAGGGGGAGGATCGGGGGAGGATCTGGGGGAGGCAAGTTTAATTTGCTCTGCCCTCTGGCCTTCATTAGTATGTAAATCCCTAGGGCCTGAGGCCTATAGCCTGGCCTATGTGACTCTATGGAGACCATGACTGCTTTTCAGGATCCTGGAAGATGGGGGGAACCGAACTCCTTCTGGTTCTCGCACAGAATTCCACACAGAATCTCGGGGTTCTAGACACCTGCTCAACCATGACCCAGGATACCCTTACGCAGTCCCACAACTAGTTATATAAGATAGGTATGTGGTTGTACTGTTATTTTACTTGGTGCATGATTCTAAAGGAGGTACAGCTTGTCTAAAGTGCCAGGAGGGAATGTTTAGCTGGAAATCCCAGATGCTCCTAGTCAGGATTTGGCTTCCTTCTGAGAAACATTGCATTTTGATTTACATAGCATTTCTTTTTAATTTTGGCTTTTAAATGACTAGGCATTAAATTTATATAACCCTGCTTTAAAGCAGATCACAATGACATTATTATAACTCCATTTCCTGTTGAAAGGTAGAAATAAGTTTTGTCCCAGACAAAGTAGGAAGGCAATAATAAAATCACAGCTGCTGGTTTATTTAGGCTTTCTGTTTGTACAGACATTATATCTTTTATATAGACTAAGATTTGGGCTTGAACCTGCCAGCAGCGCAGCTAGTGGAGGTTCTTATTTTGTTTTGTTTTGAATTCTTGCTCTCCTGTCTTACCCCACCATAGCCTAAACAACTAAGGTATGTGTGCATATGTGTGTGTGTGTGTGTACATGTGCACATGAGGGTGTCCCTGTATGTGTGTTTGTATGTGAAAGAGAGGGAGAGAGGGAGGAGGAGAAGGAGGGAGGAGATGGGGGGGGAGAGAGGATGTATAGGTGTATCTGTGTGTGCATGTGTGTGGAGGCCAGAGAGCAACCTTAAATGTCAATAACTCAGGAGCTGTCCACCTTGGTTTTTGAGACAGGGTCTTTTACTAGGACAGAGCTCACCAGATAGGTTAGGCTAGCCTGCAGGGATTTGTTCCCAGCATTTAACTGCTGAGTCATCTCTTCAGCCCCACACCCTCCCCTTGCCCCCAGCTTCTTCTTTTCTCTTTTTAAAAAAACAAACAAACAGCCGGGCAGTGGTGGCCACGCCTTTAATCCCAGCACTTGGGAGGCAGAGGCAGGCGGATTTCTGAGTTGGAGGCCAGCCTGGTCTACAGAGTGAGTTCCAGGACAGCCAGGGCTACACAGAGAAACCCTGTCTCAAAAAACCAAAAAAAAAAAAAAAAAAAAAAGAAAAAACAAAAACAAAACCCAAACCAAAACCAAAACCAAAAACAAACAAACAAACAAAACCCAAACAAATGAACAAAAACAAAAACAAAATGTTGCTTCAGGCCAAGTAGTGGTGGTGCAAGCCTTTAATCCCAGCACTTGGGAGGCAGAGGCAGGTGTGGATCTCTAAAAGTTCGAGGCCAGCCTGGTCTACAGAGCAAGTTTCAGGACAGCCAAGTCTACACAGAGAAATCCTGTCACAAACAAATGAACAAACAAACAAAAATAAATACAAACAAACCCTCTCAAACAAAGGGGGGGTGTCCCTGTGTGTGTGCGCGCGAGTGTGCACACATGAGCATGTGTAGGTGCATCTGTGTGTGCCTGTGTGGTGGGGGTGGGGGCATAGGATGAAGTTCACCTAAAAGCAAACATTGCATCCTTCAATGTGGTACCTCATGAGAATTATTCCTTACAGTTATCTCTGACAAGTGATTGACATGGGCAACCCCAGTCTTGAGTCACCTTCCAAGTTGGGTAGTGGTGATGCTGTTGGATTCTAAGATCCAAAACCAGGGGACAGGCTCCCATAGAAACTCAGGGACAGGATTCGCTGCAATCACATGAGGTTTAATATGAAACTAGTGTACTAGGATTCTCTTGCCTGTAGACAAGAGAGCCCCAAACAAGAGCTGGGTATAGTACTTATTTCACGAGGGCAAACCACAAAGTGTGACCTTTCCGGGTTCGGTTTCTAGGTAACTAAGATTATGACAAGGAGTGTCCTCCGTTTGTCTAGGTTTATTACTTTAAGGGCTCAGCTTCCTGATTCCTGGAATGTGTCTACCTGCTCTGGGCCCTCCTTACCCGCAGGTTGGTTCCCTTCCCTCTGGTCTGAGGAATGTTAATCAGCCTTCCCTTCCTCTTCTGAATGTTAATCCAGCAAGTGTCCTCCGACTAAGGAATGTGCCCCTCCTGGGATGTGTCATGGGACAGTGGGATTCTTTTAATCTTAAATTTGAACCGAGACCCGAAAGTGTTACAATGCATGCCTTTGATCCTAGCACTAGGGAGGCAGAGGTAGGCAGATCTCTGAGTTTGAGGCTAGCCTGGTCTACATAGTGAGTTTCAGGACAGCCAAGGGTACACAGAGAAACCCTGTCTCTGAAAAACAAAACCAACAAAAGGGTTCTGGAGAATGAACTCAGGTTTACAGGCTGAGCCATTTCCTGCTGCCCGTAGCCTCCTCCCTGTCCCCTTAAAGGTTCTCAATACATAGCCTAGCCTGGCTCTGAACTTGTAATCCTCTTGCCCTTGATTTTCCAGTGCTATTATTACAGGCACGTGCAGAAATTAGGATTCAGAATGTATATAAGTTTATATACATATGTTTACATACATCTTTTAATACTACACCAACATCTAGTATGTGGTCCTTGTCACAGATGTCTATCTGTATGTTGTTACGTGCTGTTAGTATGTTTTATTTTTGGAGAAATCGTCCCTGGAACATTCTAGGATTGTATCCTGCTTTTCCTATTATTGGATAGCCTATGTGAATAAAGAGGAAGTAGTCTCGAGGATCAGTAGACCTATAAAAAGATCGAAATTATTGCTGAAAATGTTGAGTCCCCTACACGGCTGAGATTCTTTTCTTTCTCCTTCCTACCCTTTGCCTAAAGGGGCTTTCAAACCAGTTCCATCATTTCAAGCTCTGATCACTACTTTGATATGCACCGAAAGATAAGTCTTCTTTTAAGAGTCGGTTTAAAAATAGCAAGAAAAGGCAAAATGGATTCCAAATCAAGAGTCTTCATTGTATCCAGCAGGATTTCCATTGCACAAAACAAAAGAATAAAAGTTAACTAGGAAAAAATTTACTTCATCTAGGGCAGAAGCCTAAAAACCAGAGACAACAAAGTTCAGAGATAAGGTACGTGAACGATCTGGAGCCGATGAGGTGACAGGACCTGTATATAGCACTGCACCGACCTGGAGACCGGCTAGCTTTCCTCTCGGTCGTGAGACTGCGCATGCGCACCACAGGGGGCGGGCCCCGGTCGCCATCTTGGCGCGCGCGGGCTTCCCTCCCGGGCCGCCCACTGGAGTGCGCTGTGTTCCTCTTCCCGTGGCATCCTGCGAGGTAACCCGCGGCCTGGGTCCTGGCTAGTCGGTTCAGCAGGCCTCCCCATCGCCGTGATGCCCTGCGTGCAGCTGCCTGCCAAGGAGAGCTCCCTCTTCAAGCGCGTGCTGGTGAGCGGCGGCCTACCCGACCTCTGCGCGCTTTCTTTACCTCGGAGCTGGGCTCTCCTCCGGCTGCTTCTCCTTCCCTCTCCCGCAGCTCTCCTCTCTATCTCTCCCCCCGCGGCGCTCCCTCCCTGACTCTGTAGTGTGCTGGGCTGGCCCCACTGCGGGAGCTTTCCAGAAACTTCCCTGGCAAAGCCGCTGGGACCCCGGCGGCTAGGTGCGCTCTGCGGCGCTAGGCTCAGCGCGTCCCTCCAGTCCGCCCCTCAGGGTTTTAAAGCTGCTTCGTGTCCAGGCTGGGCCAACTACCGCTGCTTGGGGGTGCGGGGAGATCGAGCCCGCGATCCTAGGGTGCCCATGCCTCTGAGAGGGAGAGTTTGCTTGTTTGTGGTGACTCCGTTTTGGAAGGGGCTTGCTAGAAACTTTTAACTCGTCCTTGTGATGTGATGAAAGCTGCAGACTGGCTTTGCGCTTGAGATCATTTACGTGGCTTTGAAGGCAACCTTAATAATAAGTAACAATAATAATAGTAATGACAGTAGTAGCAGCAGCAGCTAATTGCCTTGGTCATGTCAGACCCATGCCAAGCTAAAAGTGGTTCGGTTTTACGTTTTTAAATTTTACTTAAGACATGCTCACTCTGTAGCCCCGGCTAGCTCCGGATCTCTGTATACGGACAAGCTAGCCTAGATTTTTAGAGGTGCTCTTTTTGCGTCTCGAGTGCTGGAATAAAGGCATTTGCCACTATGCCCAGACAAGAAGTTTTCTCTGGGATGTGTGCTAGCATATCTGTCACCTTGGCACCTTTACCGTTTTCTAGGTTATATCCTTTCAGGAAGGAGAGAGGTGACATGCTTCTCAGTATGTCCTGGGGCTTTAAGATTTAGCAGAGTATGAGTTATTAGCTGCATTTTCTAGGCTGCCTTTTTAATTTGAAAATATGGTACTTGCAGGGTAAGCTTTTAGATTTCAGGGTAAATTTATATTGAGAGCACATGGCTGCATAGCAGTTAGCTGTTGATGAGCTTTACGGTAAGTAAAACCCTGATCATAGAGTACTTCATTGCCATCACCTGACAAAAATTTACAGTTAGTCGTTCTGGTTCAAGCCAATGGAAACTTGAGAATGTTAACAGTGGTCAGTGATACAGGGTTATCTCAGGTTGGCCAGAGATAACTTTGAACTCTCTCTGCTTTTGCCTAGAGAGTGCTGGGGTTACAGTTGTACCACATCTAGCCTTGGGATGACTATTTCAAATCTGTTTGATACAGTTAGTAGAGAAGCATGTTTGGCAAATAAATGACAAAATTGTAACTTTTGTAACCGTCGCCGATCGGTATTATTTAAAGAATACTTGATACTCTTCCTCAGTAGTTCCTTTTGCTTCTATCCCACTGTCTTTGTTATTTGTCAAATGAACCTCTATAGTCAAAGTTAGACCTTTAAAAGAAGTTTTTTGTTTTGTTTTTTTGTTTTGTTTTGTTTTTTTCGAGACAGGGTTTCTCTGTGTAGCCCTGGCTGTCCTGGAACTCACTCTGTAGACCAGGCTAGCCTCGAACTCAGAAATCTGCCTGCCTCTGCCTCCCAAGTGCTGGGATTAAAGGCGTGGGCCACCACTGCCCGGCTAAAAGACTTTTTATTACATCTATTTGTGTGCATATGTGCACACCATGGTGACTGTGCAGAGATCAGAGGACAGCTTCCAGGAGTCAGTTGTCTCCTCCCATAGTCAGACTCAGGTTGACCAGCTTGGTGCAAAGCATCTTTACTAACTGACCCATTGCACTGACCCTATTTTATTTTATTTTAGATTAGGTTTCAGAGTCTCAGTATAGCCCACAGTGGGTTGTATAATCTAGGCTAGCCTAAAACTCATGGCAGTCCTTTTGTCTCAGTTTCTAAGGACTGGGATTGATTGATTGTAGGGAATGAGCCACCAGGCTTAGCCACATTTAATTTATTCATATGGTTCAGTATTTTTTCTGTTACTTTTGTCTTCTAACCATTTAGTAATCTTCCCAGAGCCAATCAAGAAAATTCAATTTAAATGTATTTTAATGAAGACTTTCAAATTATCACCTCCACACCCAAATTCTGCTGCAAGAATTAGCTATGCCCTTGGTGCCATTTTGCTTTGAATTTAGGAGGATGGTTTTATTGAACAGCTCTTGATTACTTGTCGAAAGAAGCTTAAACAAGAATTCATCCTCAGGGGCTGGAGAGATGGCTCAGCGGTTAAAGAGCATTGCCTATTCCAGAGGTCCTGAGTTCAATTCCTAGTAACTACATGGTGGCTCACAACCATCTGTAATGGAACCCAGTGCCCTTTTCTGGTGTGTCTGAAAACAGCTACAATGAACTCCTATAAATAAAATAAATAAATCTTAAAAAAAGAATTCATTCTCCTAGAGGTCACAGGATGGTTCTGAAGATAGATAGTAAATAAATAAGAGTGTCAGAGACAGTAGAATGATAGCACTGTGTAGCAGATGAAAGAGTATGGATAGGCAGAGGGTAGGAGGCTGGCCGAGTTACCTAGCATGGTTAAATAGGTGAAGAGTGGCCTAGATCATAAGGAACACCAAGGAAAGATTGGACGAAGAGTATTCTAGTTAAAAGGAGTATAGTATAGAGGTCCTAAAGTGGGGGGAAAGCTTGACTACTGAGAGATGGGACCCCGAGTCTGAACAGTGTAATTGATGAGAAAGTGAGGAGGAGCCTGACCTGTGTGATTTGGGAGGAAAGGTGCCTTTTATGCTAGTGTTAGATGAATGATACTCTTTGTACCTGGACCACAGTTTGCAGCAAAGGTAGGTTTGTATCTGTGTTCAGAGGTTCACTTTTCCACATTAGTAAAGTGATTTAATAACACCATTTTAAAGGAATTTTTATAAGAACTAAATAAAATTAAAAAGGCAACAGCTGCCGGGCGGTGGTGGCGCACGCCTTTAATCCCAGCACTTGGGAGGCAGAGGCAGGCGGATTTCTGAGTTTGAGAGTTCGATACTAGCCTGGTCTACAGAGTGAGTTCCAGGACAGTCAGGGCTACACGGAGAAACCCTGTCTCCAAAAACCAACCAAACAAACAAACAAACAAA